CTCTCAGGGATGGGGGCTGACCCCCACATCTCCAACCTCACTGGCCCCTATCTGCCGACATAGGCCATAAGGCCCCGGGTGAAAAAGTGGGGGGCGGTTACTGGCAGCTTTCGATTTAACATTGCTATAACCACCATTTATTACCATTTATTGCTCAAGCACCTGCCGAGCGTGAGTGACGTGCTGAGGCTCAGGCAGAGAGCCGTGAATTCACGTAAGACAGAGTTGGCTATAAGGGACAGCGCAGAGGTCCCCTCTGATGCCTAGTCCCAGAGGTGCCAGGCTCCGGGATCTGGATTTAAGGCCTCGTGTGGGGTCATCACATGCTGCGGAGCTGGTCTGGGGGTCTCTGCAGCCTGCGCTGGCGCCCTGACTCCGCCGACACCGCCCCACAGGAGCGCGTGATGCACGAGGAGCACCTGCGGCAGGTGGAGGCCCAGCTGGACTACCTGGCCCCGTTCCTGGCCCAGCTCCCGCCGGGAGAGAAGCTGACGCGCTGGCAGGCCATGCGGGTCAAGGACGAGTGCCTCAGTGACTTCAAGCAGCGGCTCATCGACAAGGCCAACCTCATCCAGGCCCGTTTTGAAAAGGTGCGGCCTGGGCCCCCCGCCTGGGGCCGGGGAGGGAACCTCCAGGTCCGCATCCAGAAAATGGACCCGGGGCAGTCCGCTCACCATCTCCAACACTTGGGAGGGACTGGTGGGGGGATGAATATTATCAGTGCTCAGAGTGGCCAAAAGGCAGAGTTGTCCTTCCTCGTCCTTGCTTGTTGGGTGGAAAGGTAGATGGTGGGCTGGATGACACGGGTGGGTGGATGGCAGGGGGGTACATTACAACAACTCCTAGTCTTTGTCCCATTTCTTTCCGCTACATACCATGTGATTTGCACGCATTATCCCACTTAATCTTCACAACAAGCTCTATGCTGTGCGCCAGGGGCGTGTAATGCCCTTCATTTGCAGACAAGCTCCGAAAACATTAGAAACTTGTTCACAAGGCCGTCTCCGTCTTGAGCCTTGCTCCTCCTGGACACGATATCATCTCTAAACACACGATATCCCTCTAAACATCCCTCTAAACATCCCACTGGCTCCCATGCAGGATATTTTGTGGCCCCCGCCTCTGCCGCTCTGGCTTCTGTGGGTGGTGGCGGCAGGGCCAGCCCTCCTGAGGCTGTCCGGGGACCAACGGGATATCGGCGGGCAGCCTGGGTGAGGGCCAGCCCTCTTCAACCCCACCTGCTCTCTCCTCCCCTCATCCGCAGGAGACCCAGGAGCTGCAGAAGAAGCAGCAGTGGTACCAGGAGAACCAGGTGACCTTGACGGCCGAGGTCGAGGACTGGTACCTGAGTTACTGCTCTCAGGCCATGTTCCGCATCCGCATCCTGGAGCAGCGGCTCAACCGGTGAGGGGGAGCAGGGAGCCGGGAGAGGACCCTCGGGGGGCTGGGGTGGAGCTCTGTGAGCCCTCACCACCTCCTGTTCCTCCCTCTGATTTCAGCCACAAGGAGCTGGCCCCGCTCAAGTACCTGGCTCTGGAGGAAAAGCTCCACAAGGACCCACGCCTGGTGGAGTTCCTGAAAGTCTTCGTCTGATGCTCGGCCGAAGCTGCCAGAGCAAGAACCCGCCTCCACAGCCTGGCCCCTGTGCTCTCTACAGCCAGCAAATGACCCTCCCCTCTGGCGCCTGACCTCACTGCCACCCCGCCTCCCAGCAGCCCTGTCTCTCCTGCTTCTCATGACTTTCCTGTAAATAAACGCACTTTCCTTTCGTTCTTTTTTATTATGTTCCGTTAGCCAACATATGGTACATCATTAGTTTTTGATGTAGTGTTCAACGATTCATTAGTTGCGTATAAACACACTTGTCATTTGCCGTCCATACCTCATGTTTCACAAGTTCTAGCGGAGGCTTCTTCTCCTTCCCTTCTTTATCTATAGCCTGAGACTCCCCCGGTCCCCACCCACCTTGGCCCCTTTCCTCAATTGCTCCCTCTCCTTCTCACCATTGGAATGTTGAGTCTTTGCGGCCCCCCTGCAGATGGTCCCATGGCCACCTTCAAATAACTGGTTAGATCTCAACAACGTGGCTAGGGTGGCCCAGATGACAGAGTGTGAGTGGCAAGGCCAAGGTGCATCCTCCAGAACTCGGGGGCTCCACATTAGACTGCAAAGAACGGCATCCCAGCTCCGCATCTTACCAGTCACTATTTAGCCATCTGTGAAATGGGATGGCACTGTTGTTGTCTTAAATAAGACTCGTAAAGCAGTGAGGACTGGAAGTGGCACGTAGAAAGCACTCAATGTTAGCTTAAAAAATGGCCAACACATGAAAGTGTCAAACTCATTAATCAACCGAGATATAAAATGCCACCACACACCCACTAGTATGCATAAAATGAGTAAGAGTTGGGAGGATGAGAAGCAACTGGAACTCTCAAATAGCTTTCCCAGTGGAAGGGTCAATCTATACAACCACTTTGGAAAACTGACCATATCTAGTAAAACTAAACTTTGGCTCAACAATTCTGCTCCTAGGTTCTGCTCCATCCACCCATCCATCCACCCTCCCCCATCCATTTATTCATCCATCCATTCACTGAACAAGAACGATGAACAACTCAACCAAGATGCACATATACATCCACTAAAAGGCATGTACTAGAATGTTCATCGGCAGCAGCAGTATTAGTACCAAGCTGGAAACGACCCAGATGCCCATCAAGAGTAGAATGGAGACATAAATTGTGGTCTTGAGACATATTTGGTTGTCACAACTGGTATGAGAGTGGTACTGGCATCTAGTGTGTAGAGGCTGGGTGTGCTGCTAAACATCCTGCAAACATCTACAAGGCACAGGACAGCTCCCTGAAAAAAAGTGATCTAGCCTGAAATATCAGTAATAGGTTACAAAACATGAATGAACTATAACCACAAGGGATAACACATAGGATTCCTCATATGCAATATCAAAAGATCCCAGATACAAAAAAGTACATGCTGCATGAGTCCATTCATATAGAAAAAAAAAAAAAAAGGCAGGCAAATTAATTAACTGATGGCATCAGAATAGTTGTCTCTCTTGGGGTGTAAGGGAGCACAATGGGGGCTTCTGGGATGCTAGGAATGTTCTTCTGGACCTGAGCATGTTCAGTTTGTGAAAATTCACTTTTACACTTACGGTACATGCCCTGTGGGGTAGGTGTATTATACTTCAATATGAAGGGTTTTAAAATGCTGATCATGAACCTAATCAAGCTTTAACTTCCATTTAGCAAAAAATTCAGAGGGAAAGAAACAAGGTAAATGACACTAGCAGGAAACAGTGAGACAAAAATCATAATATAGAGCAATCTACAAGGTAAAAGTCCCAATCAATCTCTTCAAAAGATCAGTCATTAAAAAAAAAAAAAATGGGGGACTGAAACAGAATGAGTTTAAAAGAGCCAGGTGTGGTGAATATTGCTTGTTTCCTAGGTAGGAAAAAAAAAGCTTTATATAGCTTTTGGGGATGATTGGGGAAATCTGGACTGGATTTCAGAGAATTCTGTTTTCTTTTGTGTGGGGATACAACGGTTGTGTAGGACAGGAGCCTTATTTTTAAGAGGTACATGCTCAGTATTTCGTGTCATTTAGGGGTAAAATGTCTTGATGTTGACAACTTCCAAATCGCTCAGAGAAAACACCTACATGGTGCAAAGCAAATATGGAAAAACTTAGCAAGTGTTGGGTTGTCCACCAGGTGGACTGTATTATTAAACTATTATACATCATCGTAGAATTCTTTCAAGTTTCTCTGTGGAGCTTTTCACAATAAAAAGTTGAGGGGGAAATACAGAGTGGACAGGGTTGATCAGATTTTATTCTGCTAATCTAGGTCTCTTTTGATAGTGCCCACATAGGTCTCTCGACCCACTCCCCAAAAGCACAACGTGAGGGGTGGACCCTCTGCCTCTCTCTGGGAGTGAGTGCAGTTCAGTGGAGAAACCCACAGACTTTGCTTTAACACCAAAGGGTTCAAGTCCGACAGTATTCTTTTTGGTCGTGTGGCCTATTACAAGCGCCTTAATCTAGGTCTCAGCTTCCTTATCCGTAAATGGGAACAGGATTCCTACTCTTAGGGTTGTCAGAGGCGTTACGAGAGATCAGACTGCCCTGAGCTGCAGTAACAGACTGGCAGATAAACGGGGAGCTTCGAAGGTCTTTAGGCGCCAGGCCCTGGGCACCTCCTGTGGGGTCCAGTCCCTCCTAAGCGGCTCCCGGGCGGCCCAACCATGTGTGGGGCCCAGGCTCCAGCCAGTTACGGCCCTTCCCTAAGCCCACCCTACCACGAGTCCAATAAAGCCGGACTTTCTCGGATTTCTAGTCGGTGGTCCTTTTAAAGAAGCAGCCCACTCATCCATTCACCGACGCCGCAGCCGTGGTGCAGCGCTCCGGGGCTCTGCTCCCGGCTCGGACCCGGGATCGCTCTCCGTCTCCCTGTAGGTCACCTGTCAGAGCCAAAGAGGAGGGGCAAAGTCCTGAGACCACTGCAGCACCCCTCCCGACTAAAGAGAAGTAGTAGGAACTCTATTGCCCCACTCCAAGATGGAAGGGCCGCCGCTTCACGCTGCTCCTGACGTACCCTTTCCATTGGCTACCTGGGAATTGGTTTTCCAATAAGGCGAGCGCTTATTGGTTAAATAGGGATGGTTACAAAGCGATTGGCGCAGACGGCATCGGAGGGTTGTCTGGCGAGGGAGAGGAAAGAAAGGGGAGGAAAGGGAAAGCTTGAGACGGAGGCGGGACCAAAGAAATGGCAGCCCTCATTGGTTCATTAGAAGCTGAGGGGCGGCTCTTGAATTCTCCTTCCTCATGATTAGTCCAATTCAGGAAAAGAGGGCGAGTACCTAGGAAGAGCGGCAGAAGCGCCTGCTTCGATTGGTCAAACCTGGCTGGAGGTGGAGCGCTCGCGGCGGCTGATTGGTGCGGGAGGTGAGGGGGCGGGGCTCTGAGCCGGAGGTTTTGTTGTGAGGGTCGGTTGTCAAGCAGCGGCCAATCAGGGCAGGGGATGGAGGCAAGTGGGGGTCGCCCCTGGAGGAGAGCCTCGGCCTCCGGAGCCTCAGCTGCAGGTGGAGTGGGCGAGGGGGCGAGGAGGCGAGGGGGACTATGGGCCTAACGCTGGGCCGAGCCAGGCGGGGCCGAGCCGGGCTGTGGCGGAGAGGGCTCCGGGGGAGTGGGGGGAGTTGGATCCCGTGCCCCGCGAGCTGAGAGGAGTGGGAGGATCAGGCGAGGCCGAGGGACCAGCCCCAGCCTCGGGACGGGCGAGACGGGCGGGACGGGCGTGGGGGCCGGAGGGGAAAACCAGGGAAGCCGGAAGAGGAGCCGGGGGTCCGCAGGAGGCTGAGTGATGAATAGGGACACTGGAAGCAGGAGAGTGAATGAATGGGGGATACTGATAGCAGAAGAGGAAGGGGAATAAAGCGGGTCTGGCGAGGCAGGAGTCAAGTTAAGGAGCCCAGGAGACAGGATGTGCACGAATGGGGGACACAGGCGGCAAGGAGAAGGGGAATGAACAGAGGACTAGAGAGGCAGAACTGGGGACCCCAGGAGAGAAGGGGCGAAGAGAGCGTTCATGGGAAAGAGGCTTGGAAGAAGGGGGTAGAAGCTTCATGAGGTGACCTTTTAGAGTTGGGGAGGCATACTGACTCACGGTTCCCAGGACTGTCTTTCGGAATTGCGGGGACCGCGAGTAGTTCCCTTGCCGCCAACGGAGGGATTGGACCCTCAGGGCCCCCTTTGACATCCTTCCCAGAGAAGACTTAAATGCCTGCCTCTGGAGTGCCTCTCCTGGGCCCCAAAGCTTTGCTTCTGACTCCACCCCCTTCCCACAGTGTCAAACGAAACAGTGACTCCCAGAAATCTCTGTGAACTGCAGACATGTGGTCTTCCCCGCCCCACTGCGGCGGCTGCTGCACTTCGGGCAGCCAGCCTCCTCCCATCCCATCATCCTGGCCTCTGGGAGGACCTTTCTTCCCCTGTGGTCCAAGCCACCCTGCGTGAGGTGCCCCCCTCCAGATTCTCAAACACGACTTGTAGTGCAGCTCCTGGCTCTGATGCGTGTCTCTCTCTCCAGTAGCCTTGGTGATCCGGGGAGCTGCGCTCTAGTTCTGCAAGCCCAGAGTTCCCCGAACTCTCACCAAGTGTTTTCTGACAAGCCATCGCCTCTGTTTGTGTTCCAGCCCAGTGCTGAACTGACATGGCTCGAGCCTGACCTTCCAGAATCCGGAATCCACACGGGCACACACAGGCCGTTGCTGTGGCTGCTGTGAATGATCTAAAACCACGAGGCGGTCCGGGGCTGAGACAGGAGGCATTCCCTCTGCCTGGATGTGTGGGAACTCCCTGCCAACTTGATTGGCGGGTCTGGGGGGGATCCACCCCCACCCCACAAGCAAAGCACAGTCTAATTAGTGGGTGGAGCTTCAGGTGCCAGCCAACTGAAGGATGGCCACCCCTGTGGTCACCAAGACGGCCTGGAAGTTACGTGAGTGATTTTTTTTTTTTCCCCCTCTCTCACTCAGTTTATCCTATTAGCTGCTTGTTGCTGGATGGCCTGAACCCCTGGCTTTATCTCCTATTCTTGGCACAGAGGGAGACTCCCAGCCTTGGAGTGAGATAGACCAGGATGCAAATCATGACTTTGGCACTTCTTAGAGGGGTGACACTGGGCAGGTGACTTAACCTCTGAGGCTCAATTTCCTATCTGTACAATGAGCTAATCACACCTGCATTGTGGAGCTGCTGTGAGACCCACGCGGGGTGGTGAACATAGAGAAGCACTTAGGGCAATTAGGCTGATGGGCGGGACTGGGGGAGAGATGCTGAGAGGTGTTCTGGCATTTGCAGACCTCTCACAAGTCAGCTTCCCCCCGTGAGATGGGGGAATCTTGGGGCTGGGGGTGGTGACAGGGTAGGCTGAGAGATGTTGGCAGTGCTCTGGAATGTCACTGAGCACCAGCACCACCCACCCTCACATTATTCTCCACTAGCAGCTCTAAACTTTCTGATCTTAGGACCTCTTTATACTTTGAAAAATTATTAAGGACCCCAACGAGTTTTTGTTCATGGGAGTTATATTTCCATGTTAGAAGTCAATACTCAGGCATTTTAAGACACAAGAGTGTACAGTCAAACATATCATTAGAGATGGTGTCATCACATGCCTTGTATCTTCCCGAAAACCCCCCTGTATGCTTGTGAGCAAACCAGAGTGTAAAAGTCAAATACCATCTTGGTATTTTATTATGAAAGTAGTTTAGTTTTCTTGGACCCCCAGAAAGGATCTTGAGGATCCCAAGGTCCCCCGGATCATATTTTGGGAACTGCCTTACCCCACCTATAATAACTGCTTGGTGTAAATTCGGTGTGCCCAAACTGGTCACCTTCTGCTGTGAGCTGTCCCTGAGCGGTTTTCAGAAGCTGGGCAAGGCTCCTCCACTCTTTAACTGTGAGAACCTGGACAAAGCCCTTTGCTGGACGTCAGTGTGCTCACAGGTAAAATGAGAGGTTTGGGTAGTTTCAAATTGTTTCTTAGCCTTAGGGTTCTGAGAGAACCCTGTTATGGGCTCCCAAGGAGAACAGGGTGGCTTTGTATTGATTGGTGTTATGTATTCCCTCAATAGCTGGTCTTTCCTGAGCATAGAACCAAGACTGGGGAGATAGTTTGGGGGCGGGGAGGAGCAGGTTGCAAAATAGATGAGGTCCCTGTGCAATGGGGCTCAGAGCCTGGGAGAGCAAGAGGCAGAAATCAGGTAGCCACACCCCTCCATGTCTCCTTGTCTGATTCCAAGCTGGGACATGTGCTTTGAATCAATTAACTAGATGCTGGCCGGTGGGGTAGGGGAGTGCTGTAGGCGGCCTAAACAGCATATACAAAGGCCCTGGGGCAGGAAGCTCAGCATGTTGGAAGGGCTTAAAGGGTCTATAGGCTGCCACACATCAGTGGAAAGAATGTGCCACATGAGGCTGTTGGGGTCTTCAGGGGCATATGTCCACAGGACCCCAGCCTTTCTGAGGCCTTGGCTCTATCTTCAAGGCAAAGTCAAGCCATCAGAGTGTTCAGACAAGAGGTAATATGATCAGGCATGTTGGACCCTGCTGACAAGTTCATGTGCATAGCAGTCTCCATGAGTATAAGCTATCTGAAGAGCCCAAAGCCAAATGACCCCTGGCTCCTTGTGCCTATAGAGTCCAGCAAGGATCAGAAGGTGCTAGGCCAACTTGAGTCATTGAAGCCTGGTTCTCTGCACCTTCCGTTAAGGATGCAGATCCTCAGCACCTCTGACCGAATGCAGTGTCCCCAGCTCTGGCTGGGACGTGGGGCCCAGGTTGTGCCAGGTGAGCTTGGGAAGCTGGTACAGGCCTGCAGCCATCAGCCTGGCCTGCCAAGAGATGCTGTGAGGAATTGTATTTGTTTGCACTTGAATTCAGTACCCAGGCCTGGGCCAGTGGTGGATGCTGTCCTTCAGGCTAGAGGGGGAGGGCTGGGGCTGGTGCCCCTGCCGAGGCCTCCTCTGCCTGGTGCCCATGGCCTACCTCCCTCTTCCCGCGGTCCCTGGCCCCTCTAGGGGCTTCAGGCAGGCTGGAGACCCTAGGCAGGCTGCTTAGAGGGGAGTGATCTGAGTCCCTCTAGAAGGGCCCAGCCTACAAATCCTTCTCACCCCAATGTCTGTGGGTCTTCAGCTGGATGCCCTGTCCCAGGACCCATCTGATCAGGCTGTAGCATGAACACAGGAGCCTTCTCACTGCCTTTCCCCACTGGCTCCCCAGTGCTGGGCCTAGAGCAGACACCCAGAAAACACGTATATTACGAATTAAGGGCTGTCTCCAGGGGCAGTAGTCCTGAGGCCCAGAGAGGAGTAGCAGTGTGCCCAAGGAGGCCTGGTGAGGTGGGGCCCAGCCGGAACTTTCCCTGGGAAGGGTGAGAGCCAGGGTAGACACCCAGACCTTATAGGTAGGTCACAACTGGGGGGCAGTGCATGCAGGGAGTGTTTTCAGAGAAGGAGAGAGGGCCCAAGGCTTGGGAACAGAGTGCTCAGAGAGAAGGTGGTTTGCCCTCTGAGTTGGCCAGCCACTGGGGCCCAACAGAAGCTCTTGAACTGATGAGAGTCTATGGCCAAAGCCCCAGAGCACCCCAGGCATCTGTCCCTACAGTGTCCAGAGGACAGAAGGCTCCATAGTTGGGATGAGGACTAGGGAGGGGCTCAGCGCCCTTGGGTCCAGTGATGGGGTCCCCGAGGCCCCCACTGACGTTTGGGCCTGCAGGAGACTCTCACCTCTGCTGGGGCTGGGCGCTGCCCATCCCTGGCTTTGGCCAGGCCGGGCCCTGAGGTGGGGCGTCATCTGTGAGATCGAGCCTGGGGTCTGGCCCCCTGGGCAGTTTTGACAGCCCCTCTGAGCCACGCTGCCTGACAGCCTTTCTGGGCCCCGTTTCCCAGTCTGAAGCCCGTGCCACAGAGACCCCCAGGCAGGGTGGAAGCCGGAGCTGGAGCGCAGCAGAGGCCTTCTGCGGAACAACCACAAGCCCTTTCCCTCCTAGTCAAGCCAGCCTCCCAGTTGCCTCGGGGTGTCGGCATGTTGGGAGTTTCCCTTTGCTGGGACAGGGACACCTTTTTGTCCTCCCCGTTCCCAGGAGGAACTCACGTGGGGCCTGGCTTGGAGGCCTGGGCTGCCTCTTGGTTCCTTGCTCATGTCTTCTCTTTGGAGCCCTGCGAGACCCTCCGCGGTCCATGTTGGCTGCTCGCCGCTGCTTCCCCAGCAGCCCGGGTCAGGGGCCCTCACGGCTGCCCACCTTGGCCATGCCACCCACTCTGTCTGGTCAGCCCTCACTCCCGCCCCTCCTCCCCAGGCCTCTCAGTTGGCCGCCTCCTGCCACCCACCCTCATGCAGCCCACCCTCCTGGGCCTGCCGGGGTCCCCATCACCCACCGTCTGTGCCTTAGCCTTACTAACAACACCGAGCACAGCCTGCAGCATGTTCTTGGTGGGCCCGCAGCAACTCAGTGAGGCAGGCACTGTTATCATCCCCGTTTACCAGATGAGGGGGAGTGACTGGTCCAAGGCCACACAGCCTGCAGTAGCAGAGCTCAGACCAGAACCTCGTCCATGATTCTGAAGCTGTGGGCTGAAGCCCTGGGTGAGCTCCCTTGGAGACAGCTTGTCGAGAGTGGACCCGAATGGTTCTCAAAGTGTGTTCCCCAAAGTGGGTTTACGTGGATAGCAAGCAGCAGCAGAGAGATGCTTAGGTGGTTACATGAGTCAATATTTTTCATTATAATAATTGTTTTTCGTTTTGTATTCTAGAAAAAGCGTAATGAACGTATCAGTCTTGTAATTTATGGATTTTATTGCTTGTCTATGTAGACAGAGCTAAATACAGAAGGCAAGTCAATGTTTTAAATTGAGCAGAGTAAGCATAATAATATTACCCGTTGACGTGCAGAGAAAAGAGCAAACCTTGTGGCCTGAGGGTGGGACAGGAATACCCGAAGTTGGGAAGTAGTCATTCCTTCCTCGGGTGCAAGGCCTGCCCTCACAGCCAGGCTTCTGGGTCGTGCCAGCGTGTCTGGCACCAAAGGGGAGCTGAAGCGGGCAGACCCTTCCACCTGGGCTTCGGGTGCCAGGACCAGGGGCCACGCTGGGCAGCGCCCAGCCTTCCTCCCCAAGGCTGCGACTAGCCCTCTGACTGCCTTCTCCCCCTGTCCTTCCTTGTGTAGAGGAGATTGTCGCCCATGCCAGCAATGTGTCCTCGCTGGTCCTGGGCAAGGCCTCCGGGCGGCTGCTGGCTACCGGTGGGGACGACTGCCGTGTCAACCTGTGGTCCATCAACAAACCCAACTGCATCATGGTGAGCCTTGCTGGCCCGTGGGGAACAGGGCAGAGGCCCAGGGAGGGGGCTGCAGGCGGGGTTGGGGGTGGGGAGCACACGGCTCTGCAGGCTCTGTCAGGCCCAGGGCACCCAGCAGGAGGCTAGGGGGACACAACACAGCATCAGTGCCCGCAGGATGGCTGGGACCGTGGCCAGCCCTCATATATTTGGAAGTCCCCTGGTGGTGGACAGAGTTCCAGGGAGCCTGTGTGAGAAAGCTAAAATAAGCCCATGGGCCCGAGATGGAGGCTCACCCACTGGCCCATCCGCCCACCTATCAGCAGCACTTGGAGGTTACTTTGAACCATCTCCTCTCTGGTTCCACAAAAAAGGATTTGAGGGCACCTGGCTGAAGCTGGTTAGAGAGCTGGTTCTTTAATAGCACTTTCCCCCTGGTCACACAACGAATTTCCTTGTCAAAAAACTGTCTTCCAAAACAGGAAAATATAAAGGAGGAAAAAAATACAAAAATGAATTCTATCTATTTCCATCATCCAAAGACCACTACGGTTGGTATTTTGGTCTGTGTCCGTCCAGGTGCTAGTATAGATCCATGTGTGTGCACACGCGTGTACACAGACACGTGCAAACACCTACCCACGTGCACCACGTGGATGTAGAACAATATATTTTTGGAACACTGTCTTAACTCTCCTGTAGCCTGGGTTTTGAAGAGAACAATCTCTATTGTTTGCGAGCATTTTCCAGTGTCAACAAATACCCTTCTACAACATGGTTTTTAATGGCTTCGTGGTCCATTGTAGGGATGAGCCGGAATTAGCTTCGCCACGCCCTGTTCCCAGCATAAAAGTCATTTCCAGCGTTTTGGCCCTACTCAGCCAGAGGTGAACGTCCTCATCTCCCTCAATCCTTGAGCAGATTTGTGATGGTTGCATTATCTGAGGGTGTGCACTTTTTTTTTTAAAAAGCTTTCAAAACATATTGCCAAATTGCCCTCCAGAAATCAATTTTCATTCTCTCCAGCAGCATAGGGACCTGCCCTCTCCCCCTTCATGACCTCGCCAGCACAGGGTATTAACATTCTTTTGATTCTTGGCCACGAAAGATAAAGATAAAAAGGGATGGGAAGTGATTTTTTTTTTTAGTAGCAACTTAATCACCTCAGTAATTCTGTGAGATGCAGCCAAGGACTGAGATCCCAGCTGAACTGGGGCCCAGGTGAAGAACAGAATTGAAATTGCTTTGTTTTGTTTCACTTTGTTTTCAGGCTTCCAATGCGTCCCACCCCCGCAAAATGCCAAAGTAACATACAGATGGAAAACGAGCCAACAAACCCTGGCCAAAACAGGCCCGAAGTGTCCCCATGCCCTCGTCCCGCTTCTTACTCGGGGGTCAGCCTGCAGGCCTCTGAGTGCCGCAGACCCAGCGACTTCTTGCTCACCCTCAGATTTAGACATATACTAGTCCGCTCTATGTGGTCCACGTCTAATGGTCTCTGTGTGTTCTGAGCACACGTGAGCTCATATAGCTCAGTGTCCAAGGGACATGGGGTAAGAAGTGAGAAGTCTTCTTTCCTCCCCTGACCCCCACATCCCTCTCTGGGGACAACCACGCCCCTGATTACCCTGTGTCCTTCCAGAACTATTTTCTACATCTGTGAGCAAATATGTAGATCTGTTTCCTTCCCCATCCCCCCACCTTTTTTCTTGTTTATACAAACAGTATCCTATGTACACCGTTCTCCACCTTTTTTCACCTAAGAGTGTCATGGAGATCAGTGTTTATCATCTTCAGACGGTTGCCTCGTTCATTTTTATAGCCAAATAGTATTCTGTTGCAAAGGTGACTGCAGCTTAGCAGACCAGTTTCCTCTGGTGGGCATTTATATAGCCTCTGGTCTTTTGTGAGAAAGATTCCCTGTGGTGAATGACCTTGGGTCTGTTTGGCTTGCCTTGTGCTTGAGCATGTGTGGGGTAGGCTCCCTGGGGTGGAGTTGCTGGTGTGCAGCGGATGTGGATTTCTAAATGTGGACCGATTTTGCCCAGTTGCCCCCCCATGGAGTTTATACCCATTTATACTCCCACCGGTGATGGCTGGGAGTCACGCAGCTGCTTGTGACTGGCCTTTGGGCAGTTCTGCTGGGGAGCGGTTTCCCCTACCGCCCCCCCGCCCCAAGAACGTTGTCTTGGCAAACGATGGCGTCTCCGCTGTGCTTTGGGGTGACCAGTGCTGGGCGGGGAGTGACAGATGCCATGGACTTCAGATTCCGGCCTTCTCTCCCACCCCTCTCAGGGGCTGGGCCAGGAGCTGGCTCAGCCCTGCTCCGGCTCTGGCCTGCCCTGAGTTGGGTGACAGTTTTTTCCAGTAAAGTCAATATAGGATCTCTCTGGGTTCCACAATTCCCTGCCTGGGAACATGGCAGGGACCTCTACCAGGGACAGCCCCCGGGGACCCAGGCATTCCAGAGGGGTGAGATGTGTGCCGTTGTGAGCCAGGCCTCGGTTCTGTCAGGGGTTCTCCCACCGAGGGACTTGGCCAGGCAGAGTGGAGACGGAAGCAGAGCCTAGGTGAGCGGTGGTTTGGACTCAGGGCTGGAGGGTCAGCTGCTACCCCCCTCCAAGGGGCCCAGGGCCACTTTGGCAAATGATGCCCACATCAGGGGCACGGTAGGCCGTGGGAAGGGGTTGGGGCAGGACAGGGGTCTGGCCCACTTTTAACCCTGGAGGCTGAGACCAAGAGAAGCAGCTGCCCAGCCTGTCCGCAGAAAAGCCTAGATGTGGCTCCATGAAGCACAGCCTCCCTGCTTGAGCCACTTCTTGCTGATGCCCTTCCCAGGGAGCCAGAATATGGGGCAGCAGCTGGGGGTTTTTCCACGCAAGGCACTGAAACTGCTACCGTCTCTCCACAGAGCCTGACGGGTCACACGTCCCCAGTGGAGAGTGTCCGCCTCAACACCCCAGAGGAGCTCATCGTGGCCGGCTCCCAGTCAGGCTCCATCCGCGTCTGGGACCTAGAAGCTGCCAAAAGTAGGCATCTGCGCTTGCCTTCCCCACATGCACGCCTGCGGCGGTGTTGTCTCAGGCTCTGCTATTGAGATGCTTCCTCTGGGAAGCCTGTCCTGACTACATGGGGTGCTTCCCTCCTGGAGACTCTGACCAGACAGTGTGGTGACTGCCCACCCCCTTGAGCCTAGCAGCAGCAGCATACTCTTGCTGTCTCTGAGTGCTGATAACCCAGGAGGCACCAGGAAAGGTCCAGTTGGACTACTGTGGATGGATGGGTGGGTGTTTGTGTAGATTCAGAACCTGGAAGAGTAACACGTGCCACCAGGGGCCATGCAGGACACGTAAACAAGTGAGGGAGCCTTTGGGGAGAACTGGGGGGGTTATGCCCTGACTTGGGGCAGCCGACTCTTAGCCTCGGCTAACTATTGCCTGCAGGAATGGGGCCTCGGGTGGCCAGATCCTGTCTCCTTGAGCTTTGTTTTCATTTTTATGGAAGTTATACATAGTTTAAAAAGTCAAATGCCAGCCATTCTACAAATAATCACGATGGAAATGAGAAGCCTTCAGCCCATTCCTTCCCATTCTCCAGACACCTCAGCCTTCTGTCTTGCCACCTCCCTTTCCTAAGCAACATGGTATTATGGCAATTCCTATCTCTTGCTGCCTTCCTCCCACGTGAGACAAGTTAGTTCTCCTGGGGGTGCCTGGCTGGCTCAGTCGGTGGAGCATATGACTCCTGATCTTGGCGTTGTGAGTTTGAGCCCCACACTGGGTGTAGAGATTACTTAAAAAAATAAAATCTTAAACAAAAAAGAAGTTAGCTCTCTTAGAGCCGCTGGCCCACCCTTGTCACTCCCAGCGTTGCCCCCTCTGTGTTCTGAAGTGCACCGTGTAAACCGTCAGTATTTATAGCACCAGGCCCATCGAGCTGTTACTCACAGCTGATTGTGTTTCTTCTAGAGTTAATAGCTGTTCTTTTTCCATCTGTCTGTGTTTTACACCTGTTACTTAATTCGTCCCCAGATTCTCTGCCGGAATAGTAAGCCTCCTCCTCGAGCCACCCTCAAAGCCATCCCATAATTGAGGCGGCTCTTCTCAGAGCCTCGGTCCCCTGGGTCCCAGTGGCGGGGGAGCACCCAGGCCTGCAGCCCAGCCACCGTCTTGGGGCTGCCTTGTCTTCAGGGAACTCTCTCGTCTCTCTGCTGGGCCAGAGTCCGCATTATCATCTTTCTCGGTTTCCTGCCTCTTTTTTTGCTGGAGCACATTCTTTCATAGCTTGCTGATAGCACAGTTTTAGAGACCATTGGTGGCTGAAAATGACTTTAGTCTACCCTCATCCTTTTTTATTTATTTTTTCTTAGAGTCTGTAGCGGTCTAGGTTGGCAGTTGTTTTCCCTCAGAATTAGAAGGTGCAGCTGCGTTGCATGTTAGGCTCCTGTTTGGTGGCCGTTGGGAGGTCCGTGCTGTCTCCTCCTCCCTCGCGTGGGACCTGCTGCTTCCATCTCTCTGCAAGCTTGTAGGCTGTTTGTCCCAGCTCCCTGGGGTTTTGCAGTGATGACCCTTGGTCCTATGCTAGATCCTGACCAGGTTCTTTCGGTGTGTCAACTCGTGCCTCTGGTTCTGGGCCATGTGGGGAGTCTCGCCTTCCCAAAAACGGGGGGCTCTCAGCCTCCACGGGTGCGGCCACATGGCAGGGTGGGCCCAGTGTGGCCAGCCGTATGGATTTTTCAAGGGAAGCTGGGAATCTGGACATTTAAATGGAAATCTGCCCCCCTCCCCCCCATTTCTAAATGTTGACAGCTAATTCAACTTTTTTTTCAGAACACTATGCAGAGCAGCCCGTAAAACCAGTTTGCTGGCTGCTTCGTGCCGGCGTCTAGCCTGGACCTTCCAGCACACCAGGCGGGAGGCCCTCCGCTGCCCACAGGACGGGAGGGGAAGCAGCGGTGGGGGTTTTGCGGAGGCTGCTTTGTCCAAACGGGAGCCCCCTTGCCTGGCTGAGACTCCGAGTCTCTCCAGGCCTCTCCTGGGGTATGTGCTCTACTGCTGTTGCAGGACGGCAGGCGTCAGCCACACATGGCTAGTGGCCGGATTCTCTCTGCTCAGGGACAGTGCTCTTGCTGCGCAGATGGTCCTCAAGAGAGATGGCGCCCCTGGGCCTCTCGGGTGAGGCTTGCCCGCCCCCTCCCCCCGGTGACGGGTGCACGTGTGAGACAGCCGGTGAGGTGACAAACCGGGGTCACGTGCTTAGCGTCTCAGCACGCCCTCCCGCTCCCTGGGCACACGTGAGGGAGCAGAAAGGCCCCGCCAGAAGGCAGTTTGCTTCCTGGGACGTCTCTGCTTGGATCTGAGTCCCCGTGGACGGCAGCAGCCATTCACCGCTCACTGAGGAGCAAGGGACAAAAGAGAGAAGCCGAGGGCACAGTGCTTTCTCAGCCATGACTACTTCACCCATAAGGGAAACGTGAGGAGTTCTGTGAGGCGGGCAGAGAATGAAAGCCAGACACCTGTGGGATTCCTGGGCCCTGGAGTCTCAGGGTTGGCTACTCTGCAAGGAGTTCATTTCAAACACTTGGGACACACCCCACGCCCAGGGAACTTGATTCAGTAATGGCGGAGGCCCAAAATCTGGCTTTTAGTAAGCTTCCAGATGATTCTGATGCAGAGCCAGGTTGGCAGGGCCCCCTTATTTGACACATGGGCAAACTGGGGCCCAAGAAGGGCCCCCGAACTTGATAAGGACCCCATGGCTGGGGTGGTGGAAGCTGGGACGCAAATCCTGGCGTCAAGATTCCCACCCCAGGGCCGTTCGCTCTGCCACTCGAGGGGTTCAGTGATGGAACGGAGACTTGCCCTCAGCGGCCTCGGCGGGAAGAGCTAAGACCACAGGCCGACCTCCACTCCCACCCACCACAGCTTGAGTGAAAATGAGGGGCAGCTGGGCACCCAGGTGCCTAGGCGCTTCTAAAAGGGCTGGCTAAGCATCACGTGGGTTGCGTTGACGGCAGCCTGTTGCTGGAGGGTTTGGGCGGAGGCTGAACAGCTATCAGCTGGGAGGGCTTGGAAGTTCCCATACCGGGCAGACAGCTCCAGGGCGCCCCTCCGACCTGCAACTCCTGGATCCTGCGACTGAGTCCTGCAGTAGGAGGCCTTCCAAGGGCCCTCCCGGGACAGAAGAGCAAGGGCAGAAGTCACGCTGGAAGAATGTGGTCCTGCCTGCTTTCCACCGTGCAGCCAGAGGGCAGGGGTGGGTCAGCCCAGCCATCCCACAGGAAGGTAGCCTGCGTTTCATGGATCTGGCCCACACAGGGGTGGAACCTGCCGCATCCTCTCGGGGCTTTGGAAGCCTTCCTGTGGGATGCAAGGCAGTGGGCTGGGAGGTGGGCACGGACTAGAGCAGGGACCAGCGTGTGTGTGCCCCCTCTGGGCCCCGGACTTGGCCAGCAAAGCCGTGCGTGAGCCCCCGGTGGCGTATGACTGCTCCAGAGTGTCGGGAGGAGCAGCTGAGGTTTTGGTGCGGTTGAATTAGCTACTGGACAGACGTGGCAGGCACCTCGTCACGCTCTGTGAAGAATGTAAAGGCGGCTCAGTCCCAGCTCAGCAGAGGACTGGTGCCTGCTGTGGAGTGGCCCCAAGTAGGATGGGTGGATGTGGTGAGCCGTGGGCAGAGGGGTGCACTTTGTCCTGGAGGCAGAGAACCACCAGAGAAGCTCACTTTTTCCCGCCTTTAGGTGTGCCTGGCTCTGTCTTAGGAGCCCGAGACAGATGAGCTCCCTTGACTCCAGTAAAGGGTCACATGGTAAAGCCTCTGCTTCTCAGGACTCCGATGCCTGCTTTAAATTCCGGCTCTGGGCCCTGCTGACCGGCCTGAGGCAGGCTGCTTCACCCTCTGAGCCTTAGGCCCTTGCCCGCTTCCTGGTGCTGTTTGGGGGGGTGGGGAGCTAATGTGCTGACGTCATTCAGGCTGTCCTCCGCACCCCGGACGTGCTCAGCAGCCTCCCTGGGGACGAGGGAGGCGCCCAAATGGCCGTGGCACTGAGTAGTGGTCATCACTGGTGCCAGAAGACCGAGAACCAGGACAGGTGCACTGAGGCCGGAGGAGAGGAGAAGGCTCGCTTTGGGAGACAGAGGAAGCAGCTCTCATGCAGAAAGGAATGACAGCAAGAATAACTAACTGGTATTCATTGAGCACTTAACTGTGTGCACGCCCATGCTAAGCACCTTATGTCCCACTTTCTTGCTTAGCTCTGGTCGTGACCCATTGTGAGGCTCAGAGAGGGTAAGGGACTGCCCGGGGTCACATAACAAGCGAGGAGCAGAGCAGAACTGCTGCCATTTCTGTCTGGCTCCAGAGCCCTGGACCTGCGTGAGGGATGGAGACATTCGTACAGTAGAGTTTGTTTAAATCACTCAATGGTTGGAGCTCAACTCTCTTGTCCCTAAAGCATTACATTTGGAGTTCGCTTGAACACCTCCTCCAGTGGAGAGCTCATCGCCTCACAAGGCAACTGTTTCACCTTGGCTCAAACCCAGGGATGGCTGGATTCCCACACCCTTGGCCCCTATACTTATGGGATGATCAGTTTCAGACAGCAGAATTATAATTCTTTTAAAAACCGAGACACTTGAGGCCAGATAGAAGAGGCAAACTTCAGTGTTACCAGGGAACACTCTGAGATGGAAACACAAGGTTTGCTTGTGGGCCGGGCTGGGCTTGGCCACGGAGCTGCAAGCAAAACCTGGAGGGATGGGAGCTGAGGTTTCCCAGGGCAGCAGGAGCTGACTTGCCCCAGTCGCGTCCTCTTTGTGTTCTCTCGGTTCTCACAGCACCTCATCTCGTCCTCACAGCTACCCTCAAGAGCCCTCGGACAGGGGGCTGGTGTGCGCACCGCAGCCACTCCAGGCATGCCCTCCACGCTGCCCTCCTTGGGGCCTTTGCCCACCATTTTACTCTGCCTAGTATCCTCCCTCACCCTCCACTCACTGACGTCCTGTTCGAATACAGCCTCCTCCAAAAAGCCTTCCTGGATTTCTCTTTTCAACCAAGCAGCTTCTCTCCCAGCCTGGACCTCTCCTGCCTCCCTCTTCTGTCTCGGCTGCGGCGGGGTGGCCAGGAGGACATACGCTGTCTGTCTGGCCATGAACTGAGTGCAGTAGTTTTCCAGCTCTGCTGTCCAGGGCAGCACCCTTGCGAGAGCCCGCTGGGACGAACCCAGGGGCACAAGCTACAGGGGGCTCGGGTCATGACAGAAATGGCTGTCATCTCTCGGGACAAAAATAGGAAGGCCAGGTGTTGGGGTGGCAGGAGTCCGGTTGAGTTGTTTCCGTGTTTCTAAAATCGCTGCTGTTTTGGTTCTCTGTGCAGTTACCATGGAAGCACACCCCCGGGGACCACCACAGCCCCCGCTCTGCCAGGTGCCTGGCTTGCCCCTCACGCCCCTGTCTCTGCTCTCTTCCTTGGCAGTTCTTCGCACGCTTATGGGCCACAAAGCCAACATCTGCAGCCTGGACTTCCACCCGTACGGCGAGTTCGTAGCCTCGGGCTCCCAGGACACGAACATCAAGGTGAGACCCTGTCTGTGCCCCGTGTCCCCCACTGGGCCAGCGGTGAGCCCCGGGCTGTGCGTCCAACCTGAGGAGCAGGCCTTTTGGTGCCGTGGGAGGGCCTCTTCCCTCTGTGGTGGTGTCCACAGCCTCCGAGGGAGGGGGATGTGGAAAAGTTCGCCAGACGTTTCTGCTCAGAATGCCCAGCTTTCACGAGCAGTTTCCAGATTCCTGTCATTTTGGGGTGTAATGACCTGGGGTGCCTGGAACCCCTGTCTGCTTGTGGCCGCACACCACCCTCTGACCCAGGCTCCCGGACGGGGCTTGGCGAGGCCTCTGCAGCCCAAGCCCACCTTGGTCGTGACCTGTCCTGACTCTGCCCCCCTGCTCCTCTCCCCGCAGCTATGGGACATCAGGAGGAAAGGCTGCGTCTTCCGATACAGGGTGAGGAAGGAGCCCTTTGGCGATCATTCCGTGAGCGGCATGCAGGCGTGGACGCTGGGGTAGTGCCCAGACCCTGGCCGGGGCTGGCAGGGATCACCGTCCAACATGGGGGAGAATGTGAGAAACGAGAGTCCAAGTGAGAAGCAGGAATCTCGAGCAGAGCATGAGTGCTGTGGATCCGCCGCTTTCCATGAATCCTCCCAGCACCGTGTTTACCAAACTGTGCTCCACGCTCTGATTCCATAGGCAGATAACTGGTGTCGTTAGGTGAAGAGGGTTCCTGTTCCTATGTCTTTGGAAGCGCTGAGTTGAATATGTAATTCTGGTGGTTTTTAGATCCTTGACATTAGGGAAGACCCCTAACTCTCCAAAAAGAGGCATAAGATACGTCGTTTCCCAGACTATCTGAGCAGGAAATCGGGATTTCCTGGAGCATCCTGCAGCACTGGGAATGGTGACTGCATGGGGTGGTGTCCGTCTGTGACCTCTCCAGCACACAGCCGTCTGGTTCTGCCTCGCTTGCTGGTCAAGGGCAGGGCCGAGCAGTGTGGGGAGGAGGGCAGCCCATCGGGCCAAGGCCCCTCAGGTGAGCTCAGTGCTCTGTCCTCTGCCCAGGGACACAGCCAGGCTGTGCGGTGCCTCCGGTTCAGCCCTGATGGGAAGTGGCTGGCGTCGGCTGCGGATGACCACACAGTGAAGGTAGCTCCTGGCCTGACCTGGGCCCGGGAACTGGGGACTGGGGTCTGCTGAGCACACTCAGGCCGGGTCCTCGCCTCCCTCCTGATCAGGTTCATGTATCCCAGGCCTGTCCGCAGTGGAAGGCGGCTTGTAGATCAAGGGCAGGCCGGGGGCAGGGGTGGGGGGCGGGGGGAGCGGCAGGAGTTGAGGGAGGAGTGGGCAGCTGAGATCCGAGCCTGGTTCTGACCTTCCGCCCGCCCTGCCCCAGCTCTGGGATCTGACTGCTGGCAAGATGATGTCCGAGTTCCCTGGCCACACAGGGCCTGTCAACGTGGTGGAGTTTCACCCCAATGAGTACCTCCTGGCTTCTGGCAGCTCGGACAGGTGAGGAGGAGGGGCAAGGCCTGTCACCCGTGACTGCCATCTCTCGCATCTCTGTCCCGAGGTGTTCTCTGCCCCATGATGCTATGTAGACTGACCTGATATCTAGCCAAGCCAGGACGGGGCCATGGTCCCATCTCTGCCTGAACCCTGGTTTCCCCAGCCCCAGTGTTTTGGCCTGTCATGGCGTGTCCAGATCCAAAGCCCATGCTCACCTCCCACCGGCCAAGTCCCTCCGCCTGCTGCGCGGGGTCAGCCCCTGGCCCTAAGCATTGCTCTTAGTTGTCCCAAGCCTGGGGGATAGGCGTTTGCAGAGAAGTGGGTTTCCCGGGCCACGGGCCGGCATGGAGGCTACCAGAGGGACCCTGGCTTCCCAGCACAGCCTGACTGCCTTTGCAGGACCATCCGGTTCTGGGATCTGGAGAAGTTCCAGGTGGTGAGCTGCATCGAAGGAGAGCCAGGGCCTGTCAGGTACGCAGGCAGCTGGGTGGTGGGTCTGGGTCCTCCCCGCCACCCCGGGGCAGTTGGATGTGGGTATGGGCTGTGTGGGTGGGCCTTCCCCCTCCCGGCCCCTGCTCCCTCTGTCCGGGGCTCCGCACAGCCTCCCTGGATTTCTCGGGACCCACAGCCCGCTCTTGCCTGGCCCAGGAGCGTCCTCTTCAACCCCGACGGTTGCTGCCTATTCAGCGGCTGCCAGGACTCGCTGCGCGTCTACGGCTGGGAGCCTGAGCGCTGCTTTGACGTGGTCCTAGTCAGCTGGGGCAAGGTGGCCGACCTGGCTGTCTGCAACGACCAGCTGGTGAGAGAGCCGCCGCCTGCCCTTCCCCTGGCCGCCCGCCGCCTCCCACCCAGGCCCCCACGCCACCGCCCCCCCCCCCAAGGCCTGCTGGGGTCCTGCCCGCCCATACCCCAGCTCTGCCGCTTCCTGCAGATAGGTGTGGCCTTCTCACAGAGCAACGTCTCCTCTTACGTGGTGGACCTGACGCGGGTCACCAGGACAGGCACGGTGGCCCAGGACCCCGTGCGGGACAGCCGGCCCCCAGCCCAGCAGCCGGCCCACCCCAGTGCCCCTCTTCGGCGCAGCTATGAGCGTCCCAGCACAGCCTGCAGCAAGCCTCAGAGGTGGGGTGCTAGGAGGCGGGCCGGCACCGGGAAGGCTTTGGGGGGCCCGGCCCCGGCTCACCGGGCCGGCCTCCCGTCGGCTTGGCGCCGCCCCGCAGGGTGAAGCAGAACTCAGAGAGCGAGCGCCGCAGCCCCAGCAGCGAGGACGACCGGGACGAGCGGGAGTCCCGGGCCGAGATCCGGAACGCCGAGGAGTACAACGAGATCTTCCAGCCCAAGAACAGCATCAGTGAGGCCCGCCCCCGGCCCCGCCCCTGACCCCGACCCCGCCCGGCATATCCCCATCCGGGCGTGGAGGCAGATGGTGCTTTGTGGGCACGGCGGCGAGTTGCTCTGCTTCTGGGTCTGGATTCCCAGCTCACACCTTGGACCCCCGGCTCTGCTCCCAGGTCCTCGAGGCCCCAGCAGAAGCCCAAGAGCCACTCAGTGCCCCAGCCCACCAAGCAAAGGAAGGACCCACGAGGGCAAGCAGATGGGGGGGGCGGGCAGGCCTAAGGGTTCTGGGACTGGGAACAGGGTCATGGGCCTGCAGCTGTGTGTGTACCTGGGAACCACCTTCCACCCCCCCCACCCATGTCCCAGGCCAGCCCGGGCCAATGTGAGTCCCCAGCCCCCTTTGCCTCTGCAGGTCGGACACCACCCCGAAAAAGTGAGCCCTTCCCGGCACCCCCCGAGGATGGTGAGTCGGGGAGCAAGAGCCTGGCCTCACAGGGTCACCAGCTCCCCAGGCCTGCCCTGCCACCATCTCCAGCCTCTCTCCCACTAGATCTTTTCCCTCTGCTCACCCAGAAGCACCTAAGTGTGCGCCAGGCCCCACACTAGGCCCTAGCGCTGGAGCCTGAGCAAGGCGGTAGGTGCTCCCCTCAGGAGCCCGCACCCCAGTGAGCAGAGAGATGGCAGACAGCCACCCGGCTGCATCTGCAGAGGGGACAGTGCTGCAGAGGCAAGGGCAGGGCAGGGCAGGGCGAGAGAGGGCTGCGGAGGGCCTACAGGAGACGGAGGAGCTGGGGAGAGCTGCAGGTGGGAAGGGGGTGGGAGGAGGGCAGGGCCTGGGGCCCAGGAGCAGGAGGCCAGGCCCTAGCTGGGGGCTTGGGTTTTGCTACCTTGACTGGAGAAGCCAGGGTGGGGCACCCTTGTCCTGTAGATTGGCTCTCCTTTCCACCTGGCTTTCTCTTAAAGGAGCCATCTTATTCTCCCTCCAGGTGGGGTTTCCTGTGCTTTCTACTCACCACCCACTCACTGCCAGCCCCTCCCATCGCCCCCCCCCGCCGCCACACACACTCCATTCCCAGGGAGGTGATGGGATGGCCACTCCTGGGAGCTCCCTGGGTCCCATCCACACGCGGTGCTGGACACCTTTCTGCCCAGTGGTTGAGTGGGTGGAAAGGGAGGGGACAGGTCCAGCTTCCAGGAGGCCTCCCCAGGAGTCCCCGACCCCCTCACCCCCCACATACACACTGCTGATGTCTCCTT